GCGAGCGGCCGTGGAAAAGCACCTGGCTCCGGCAGGGCAGTTAACAAAGCCGGCGCGGCCAGAGGCGCCAGGCTCCGCGCGGAGCTTCCCGGTGGGCGCGCGGCCCCGGGGCGCCCGTCTGGGTGCGTGAGCCCGCACCTTGCGCACGCGGTGAGTCCGCCGAGTCGGCCAGGCCGGCGGGGCCTGCCTGCGGCAGGCGGGGCGGGAGGGGTCAGGAAACAGCTGCTGGTTGGATCAGAACCGGAGATGCCGGGTCAGGAAGGCTGGAGGCGGGGAGAGCGCCGGGGCGCGGTCCCCACTATAAGGTAGTTAGCTTGTGTTCGGAATCGCAGGGGAATATAAACACCCCGATCCTTGGGACGGGACTGAGCTGTTTTACAGGTGGGAAACCGCGACCGAGGGAGATTAACTTGGGGGTGGGGGCTGGGGTGGAGGGAGACGCAGATGATTATTTGTATGTGGTTATTCTGGTCTTTTTCTACATAAGATTTGGGGCCACTTTTAATCCGAATGCTTCCATTAGAACCATGGAAAATGACAGACAATGAAATGAGGCCTTGCCAAGGGAAACATAATCCAGGCGGGACTGCCAAGACCGGGGCAAAGGAGGACAGAAATTAGCAGCCCAGAAAGTGAAGCGACTGGGCGAAAATTAGTGTCCAAACTGGAACCAGGAGCAGGCCCCCGACAATTCTCCCAGCCCCGAATCCAGACACTTAGAATGGAATGGAGACGCTGACAGCCTGAACCGGCTGCTAACTTCTGAGGACACTCACTGACCTCCTAGAAGCGGCGTCCACTGCCTATGGAGAGGCTCACGCGTAACTGTGTGCAGTTTCTGCAGGAGTGAAGCATGCTGTAAGGGGCGGGCCTGGGGAGAGCACGCCCAGTGCGCCTTTAGCGGGAAGGAGCTGACAAAGTAGTACCTGGAGTCCAGACGGTATCCTGACACTACTCTGGCTAGCTGGGCCGTCTTAAGTCATGTGCCCTCACCACGGTCCAGTTTTTATTTCTGAAAAGGAACGAAGAGCTTTATCCTAAAAGTTATTGTCAGCCTGAAAGATGATTGTATGGAAAGCCCAGTGCCAGGCACTTAGTAGATGCTCAATAAAAGTATGATCGAGAGAACTTGTTTGCTGATCAACCTAACTCAGCAAACCATAGCTGTTCTAGTTAGGAAAGGGTCGTGACCAGTTTCTCAAATTAAATGAAACACATTTGTACATGTGTCACCATGTCAATAACAAACCCAGCACTGCGGTGAATGACTTACAAACCCTAGCGCATAACCTGGGGAAAGGAACCTTTATAGGGTGCTGTAATGCAGCGCATTCAATAGTTGAGCCCAGGTCAATTGCCGCGTGTGGCAATGAGCAGGCTCGCAGGTGGTCTGACAAGATGTGGTGATTGGGCCTCTCTTGCCACCTTCAAGTGGTACCAGTCCTGCCAAGGCTGGTTTTGAAATGAGAGGAGAGAGGAGGCAATAGACCCAACACCCAATCTCGCCCAGCAATGGCGGCTCAGCTGAGTTTCTGCCAGGGTAGGAGAATTGCAGCAGTTGGCTCATGTCCTCCTTGAATCAGCGATTGCTGGTAAACAGGGCCTCGGTTGATTCCACTCTAGATCCAGTCAATGGCTTTTTATTTAGTTAAAGAGGGGTATGGGCGGGGGTAGGGTGTCTTTGGGTGTTGTAACGGAAGCAAACGGCATTTGTCAATCCTGACTGTCCAAAGCCTTGTTTATTTATTGACAGGCTTAAGAACTTTAAACCAGTGCATCCCAAATCATCAGGACAGGGCAATGTGCAGGTCCATTGATCTATGAAAAGAACTGCTCTCCAGAGTACTATGTTGTTTTTCTGTCTCTCCCTGTTTGGACCATGTAAATAGAACCAGGGAAATGTGGCTGACAGCAAATAGCTGTTATTTAATTTGGGTCTAGACACCGCTTGTCTGGTGGGTTTACATTCCTTCCAGGTATGTTAAAGGGGTGTTTTCCTTCAGGTGAGGGGTGTGTATGTGTGTGTTCTCTTGCCTTTTCTCCATCTCACTCCTGGCCAGCCATTTTTCAATGCAGAGAATGGGCACGCTTGGTGCTTTGCACAAGTCCTGCTTGGCTCTGTCGCCTGATGCTTCACAGTCGTTCTGTTAGAGAGGTTTTTTATTTTTTGACCTTAGAGTCCAAGCGTTAGGCGCTCCACAGGCCACAGAGAGCAAAAAGACTTGTTCTCCCCAAGAGGCTAAGCCTCTTCCATATTTGGTGGCAACCAGGACACTTGTGACATGTGTTTTCCCTCCACACCCACTGCCTTCATTCCGTCAGCCATTCCTCCGTTGGGCAAAGTTAAAAAGCAGAATTGTCAAGAATTGATCTACTGACTACTGACTACACCCAGGGGCTCATTAGCATGCCCATCCCTGACCTTCTGAATCAGGATTTTTCGGAATAGGGCCAAGAATGTGCATGCTTGAGGTGTTTTTGCCTCGCACTATGAAGCCCAGGCAAAGCCACCCCCACCTTGTGAATCCTGACTCCCCCGTGGCCCTCCAGGACAGAGTAGAACTGCCCCACCGGGCACCCCAGACTGCCACCTTACAGCAACAGGCCGCCGCACCTTCCTCCCTCCCGAGGAGTGGCTGGTAGGTTGGATCCAAGCACCCTCAGCAGCACCCTGAGCTCTGGTTGCCTGCATGTGGTTGGGTGGAGGCTGTATGGTGGGGACTGGCTCCCTCTGCATGTATTTTTGCATTTGTTGGTATGAGAGGGAAAGTAAAAAAGCATCACCACCACATCCTAGCACCCGACGTTGCTTTGTCATCGGTGGTGCTGCAGAGTGGTTTCAGCTTGTCGTGAACCTGTGTGCGACAGACCGCAACGCAACGCCGCCCCATCCCGCGCCAGCCTCACCACTGCTGTTATGTTCGAGCCCATTGTTGTCGCCGCATGTCAGTCCTTCCCGTGTCAAGGGTCTTCCTCTTTTCCGCTGCCCCTCTGTTTTACCCAGCATGATGTCCTTCTCCAGGGACTGGGCTCTCCTGACAACATGTCCAAAGTATGTGAGATGAAGTCTGGCCATCCTTACCTCTAAGGAGCATTCCAGTGGCATAGTGGTTAAGTATTAGGCTGCTGACCATAAGGACAGCAGTTCGAAACCAGCAGCTGCTCCAAAGAAGAAAGAGAGGCTTTCTGTGGCTGTAGAGTTACAGTCTGGGAAACCCAAAGGGTTTCCCTGTAGGGTTGCTATGAGTTGGAATAGACTTGACATCAATAAACTTGTCTTGTTTTTTTTAAAATAGAAACCAATATTAAAAATATTAAAAAATGTGAAGCTATTGTTTCTCGACATATCCTCCGTCTAGGTCAATACACGCCTGTAGATGGTGTTTCCATCCTTCTAACCCTTCCCTCCAAATTCTGCATTCTTCAGTTTTCACCACTTTAAAAAATGGCAGTTTGGGCATCCCCGAGAGACTCAAATCATGTTCCTTTGAAATGTTCTTTGAGTCTTTGTGGTGGTTATGTAATCTGTTGTCAAGAGGATTATGAGTGAAGGGGTAGAGTCTAGGCTGTGGATCAGGTCATAGCCAATGAGGCCTCTGTGTGGGCGTGGCCTTCTCCTGAGGATTCTGGGAACTCCTGTATTTCCTCCTTGGAGGCAGAGACGCTCTTTCTGCTCACTCCCCGAGAGAGACTCTCTACTGAGAAGACACATGGGACTCTGCTGATGCAGCCATAACCCTGAACCTGAAGGAGCCACGTGGAGACCGCTGCCAGCACTGAGATGCTTACAACACCACTGGATCCAAAGACTTCCCACCCACTGGCCTGTGATCTTCCTGCAGTCAGCATCATTGCATGTGTTTCGTGAGTCTGAAGAGGACGTTATAGATTGGTGTCAGACCTATGGGCTAATATTGGACTAATGGATTTGATCTGGGCTGGGCTGGGATGTTTTCTTAATGTACATATAAATCTCTTGTATATAAAGCTCTTTCTCATATCCATATCAGTGTACATGAATTTGTTTCTCTGATCTACCCGGACTAACACAGTCTTGGGAAACAAAAGAAATCTGAAAGGCAAGATCAGGATGGCAGGGTAACTAGGACAAGGTTCCCAAACAAATTATGTAGGACAGCCCTTGCTGTTCATGAAGAATGAGCAGGGGCATTGTCATGATGGGCAAAGATTCCTTGGCACAACTTCCCTGGCCTTTTGCTCACCAATGCAATTTTAATTTTCGTAAAATTTCTTCCTACTAAGAAATCTTCCTGCCCTGTGAGAGTCCCGTGTCCTTTGAGAAAATCTCCCAAGCTTCCCCCCCTTGGAGCCCCAAGCACAATCACCATGACCTGCTGAACTGACCGCTCTGCCTTGAACTTCTCTGGCCCCACAGAGCCCCTGAGAAGCCACTGTTTTGATCGGCCTGGTTTTGAAGGAGACAAGTGTATTGCTGAGAGAACTTATCTGCAGCCATCCAGTGCTCTCGGTCACATGTTGAACCCTGTTTTCATCGGAATAAGCCCACGCATGTAGACACTGGAACGCCAGTAGCAATACTTTTTAAGTTATCCTCATTGTGTGAGAAACACCCTTCTTTGTAATTGGGTGAAAAACAAATGATTCCCACCTTTCTGACACCAAATTGTAAGGATCAGTCAAACCCAATATCAACCTATTATCAAGTCTTCTTTGATTCTGCCACCATACATGCACTACTTTACCTAACCACCTGGAGCTAGGTCATAATCCTAGACTGCCCGGGACCTCGGACAGGACCAGCTGCAAGCTTGCCAGAACTCACCTCGCTGCTGACTTCACTGGGTTACCTTGAGTTCTTTACCCCACAATCATTTAAACAAAATTTAGAAGCAATCATATACAACATATTCTTAGCCCAAAACTTGTCAAATCAAACAATTTATATATGTGTATATATATATATATATGGTTTATTGTATGAGTGGGCCCTGTGATTACATATTGGGCTGCTAAATCCAAAGGTCAGCAGGTCAAAACCACCAGCTGCTCCGTGGGAGAAAGACGGGCCTTTCTCCTCCTGTAACGAGTGACAGTCTTGGACAGTTTTACTCTGCCCTATAGGGTCACGGGGAATCAGACACCGCAGTGAGGTTTTGTAGTTTACTGTGTGTCAGTTAAACCTCAATAAAGCTCTTTGAACACCCCCCCCCCCACTGCTGTTCAGTGGATTCTAACTCATAATGGCCCTATGAAGACAGATGTAACTAGGGAATGCCCAGGCTGCTCAGAGCAGAACTGCCCCAGAGGGGTTCCAAGACAGTCGTTGGTACAGAAGCTTTCTCTCCTTAGGAGCAGCTCGTGGGTTCAAATCGCTGACCTTTAGGTTAGTAGCCAAGAGTCTCACTGCTGTACTACCAGGGTGGCATGTGTGTGTGTGTGTGTGTGTGTATATTTCTGAAACTTTTGGTAGCCAAATCTCAGTGGTGAGTGTAGAATCCCAGCTTTAGAGAATCCTAGGGCTAGAAAGCTCATTATCTGTGTTAGTCTGGGTGGACTAGAGAAACAAATCCATAGACACTCATATGTCTATAAGAAAGAGCTTTTAAAAAAAAATCATTTTATTAGGGGCTCATACAACTCTTTTCACAATCCATACATACATCAATTGTTTCCAGCACATTCGTACATATGTTGCCATCATCATTCTCAAAACACCTGCTTTCTACTTGAGCCCTTGCTATCAGCTCCTCTTTTTTTTCCCTTCCCTCCTTTATATATAAGAGAAGTTGAGAAAACAGCCCAGTCCAGATCAAGTCCATTAAGTACAATATTAGCCCATATGGCCGATACCAATCTATAAAGTCCTCCTCACAAAACTCATGCATTGAAGCCAAATGCAGGAAGATCACAGGCCAGTGGGTGGGAAGTCTTGTGGATCCAGTGGTGTTGCAAACATCTCAGTGCTGGCAGGGCTCTCCATGTGACTTCTCCGGCTCCAGAAGTCTGGCTCCATCAGCCTTTCTCCATGTGTCTTCTCCACAGCAATGTCTCCCAGGGAGTGAGCAGAGAGAGTGTGTCTCCTGCCTCTAGGGAGGAATTACAGGAGTTCCCAGCCTCCTCAGGAGAAGGCCACGTCCACACAGAGGCCTCATTGGCTATATCCTGATTGATAGGCTAGACTCCACCCCTAAACTCTTAATCCTCAAATTGATACCAGATTATATAACTATAACATTTTAAAACTGAGGAAACAATCTGGTGACTTGCCTAAGGATGCATAGAGCAGGTGAGGTCACACACACACACACACACACAATGTCAGAAATTAGTGTTGGAGTTAGGGGTATTCAAGATACATCAACAAACAAAAGCCCTCACTGCCTTGGCATTTATTCTGATTCACAGAAGCCCTCTAGGACATGGTAGAAGTGCCCCTGTGGGTTCCGAGACAGGTGAGACTTAGCAGGAGTGCTCGTCACTTAGAACTGCTGGCCTGGCAGGTGGAAGCCCAATGAGTAACCCACTACACCACCAGGGCTCATAGGTGAGCAAAAATAGTTGAGAAATCATCTTGGTCCTTGCATGAACAGAGTATCAGAATCTAGCCGGCGGTGCAGCGAATGGCCTTGGGGATCGCCCCGTGGAGCAGCTATTATTAGTTCTAAGCACTCTGGCTGTGTGGTGCTGTCTGGAAAGCCACCATGTACTGCTTCTGAAATATCGCCATGTCTGTCTCAAGTGGGACTTCATCACACTTATAGAACTAGTAGGACTTATTTATGTTGTGTCTGTTGGCTAACAAGTGTAAGAAATACCGTCACTATGCAGTAGAATTTGGTCAGCTACTTGCTCTCACGTATAACCTGGAACTCAGGTTGGTAGGAAGTAGCTATCCTCACCCTGCCCAAAACTTTTTGATGGCTTTCAAGAAAAACCCAAGAGTAATATACAGTCTAGGTCCATTTACACCTGTGTTATTGACAGTTTAATCTTTATTCTGTGAGTGTTCGTCCATAGCATTCACTTATTTATGTTACTGAGCACCTATATGTGCCCAATCTAAAGTAGATACTTGTCGTGCACCGATGAAGAAGACATTAATTCTGCCCCATGGAGCTTCCATGCGGTGGATGGAACCAGTAAATAACAAAATGGATAGAAAAGCAAAGTCATGATTGAGAGGGGAGACCCATGGGAAGTGGGAATGAGATGTTTCTAGGTTGCTCGCAAAGACGTAAAGGGATACATGTTTGATGCTTGTTCTTTTGTGTCTGGTTTATTTCATTCAAGGAGCCCCGGTTGCCCCCTGATTTAAGAGCCAGTTGCTAACGAAAAAGTCAGCAGTTCGAATCCACCAGTCTCTCAGCACTCTACCCTACTTATCTTTCTGTGGTCATTTAAAAATCACAAAATCTTATCACTTTACGTCTCAGCAAGCAGCCTAGAAACATCTTCTCATTGCCCGGCCCTCCTTGGTGGCTGATGTTGTGTGCCCACCTGGTTGAGGCATGATTCTCAGTAGTTTGGCAGGTCCTGGACGGGCTGCTCTTCTATAATACGGTCACCTTGCGTGATGTGATCTGATGTGATCAGCCCTCCGTTGAAAGAGGGTGTCTTTGGGGGTGTGGCCTGTGTCCACTCTATAAATGGATGTTCTGGTAAAGCGTGCTCTCTCAACCTCACATTCTCCTGGTTCTACATTCTCCCCATAGCCTGGCCTCCAGTTCCTGAGCCATAAGCCTGCGGAAACCTCCAGCTTGCTGCTTGATCTCCAGGCTCGGGCTCAGCAGTCCCCTCAATCCCATGAGCCAGCCCAGGACTTGAGCCTACTGTCCAGTCATGATTTGGAACTTGCCAGCCCCCACGATTGCATGAACCATTCCCTTGAGGAAGACCCCTCTGTGTTTCCATTGCCCCGTCTCACTGATTTAGCTCTGTGAGATCTCTTGCAACCCTGAGTCTCCATTGCCCCATCTTCTCCCTTATTAGGGATGTCACGGGAGACTTTCATCACCTGGGTGTGCCATGTGACTCACTGGACCATAGCATTCCTTCAGTCTGGGAGCTGTCAACATGCAGTCAGGAGTGGAGGACAGCCTGGCGTGACCTGTTTTTCAGGTAACTTAAGCCGCCTCCAGTGTTCCTGATTTCCTTTTCTAAGACACCTTCTGTTGAATCGAACGACAGAAACTCAAAGCAGAGCGGCTTAGGCCACAAGGCAGCAGGGAAGGTGGAAGAGGGTTGTTGGTTCTGACCCATAGCAACCCTCTCAAACAACAGAACAAGGCGCTGCACAGTGTCCCGCCATCCTTGCAATTGTTTCAGCCACAGTGTCAGTCCATCTGGTTAAGGGCCTTCCTCTGCTGGCCCCCTCCTTTACCAAGCATGCCTTTCTCCAGGGACTGGTCTCTCCTGACACTATGTCTAAAGTATGCTAAGATGAAGTCTTACCATCTTTACGGGAGTGGAAAGGCTCATCTTTCTTCTGAGGTAGTTTTGAACTGCTGACCTTGCAGTTAGAAGCCCAATGCATAACCCTCTAGGCCAGGGGTCCTCAAACTTTTTAAACAGGGGGCCAGTTCACTGTCCCTCAGACCCGTTGGAGGGCCAGACTATAGTTTTTAAAAAAACCATGAACAAATTCATATGCACACTGCACGTTTATTATTTTGAAGTCAAAAAACAAATGGGGCAAAAACACCTGGTGGGCCAGATAAATGTCCTCTGTGGGACACGTGTGGCCCGCGGGCAGTAGTTTGAGGACGCCTGCTCTAGGCCACTCGGGCTCCCAGTCTAACTATTATAGTAACAGAAGTATTCTTGAGAACTTACTCTGCATCTAGTACTGTGTTAAATATTTACATGAATTGCCTTATGAAGTCTTAGAACAACCCTCTAAAGAAGGCTACAAGATCATCCCAGGGAAGCCAGCCCGTTGGAGGCTGAGCCAGAATTTGAGATCCAGTTTTTCCGGCTCTAGGTCTTGGGCTTCTAATCTTCATAGTTCTTCTAACCCACACTCATTCTTTAGGGCCCCAAATGAGGACTGTCAATCTCTTACTTGCTCAGATCCTGACTCCTATAAAATGGATTTGGCAGGGCTAGTGTGAGTAGGAGGGTTGGGAGGTTATGTTTATAAATGTGTTGATTCTAGCTCTTTCTGGGTTTTAAGAATGTTGAAAGTTCTTTCTACAAGACCAGCACTTCTACCTTTTGCTGTGTCTTTATAAACCAGGTTTCTCTGCCAGGGCCTATGTGGCCACTCCTCTCCCTGTGGGCCTTTCCTCCTCCTGTTGCTGGTGAGATCTTTGCTGGCATAAGGATCTCTGGTGACAGCTGGCTCAGGAGTGCTGCCAGGTGAGTGTGGGGTCGCTCACTGTAGGGTGCTTCAAGGGGGAAAGAGGAGGCTGTCTGTTCTCTTTAAGATTTGCAGCCTCGGAAACCCACCGAGGCTTTAGGTTTCTGGGAGGTTTCTCTCGCTTCTTGCTTCTCAACACTGAAAGAATTCACGCGGCAGAGCACCTGTGTAAATCCGAGTCACTTGTATGAGGAAAGGGAAGTTTGCGGTATTACAGTCTCAGATAGTGCACGCTATCTCTGGAAAGCATGCCAGGCCTCATGGCTGCGGGAGGTGGGGGTGGAGTTTGTGACCAATAATGGCTGCTTCAGGGGAACGCAAAAAACCATGTGGAAAATGTCCAGAAAGTGGATTCCACAGAACCGAAAGAGGAGTCCCGGAAAAGAAGAAAACTTCTGGGTAGAGCGGAGCGCAGGGTCACACAGGAAAGAGCCCACACTCCGATCTGCAAAAGAGCCCCTGAAAGAGGGGTGTGGCCTGCCCTCACTCTATTTATCCCTCCTGTCACCATGGGTGTGGCTGAAGGTATTGGCCCATCTTAGTAGCTGAGTGCAGGTGCACCTGTGTGATGTCATATTGCTGGTGCCTAGCGTTGTGTGCCCAGGTTGACGTCTCTCCCTGGGCCTAGGTGAGCTGGGTCTGAGCATGCTCAGTTCTTGGTTTTCCCGTCTGTAGCTAATGTGTGCTGATTTCTTTGCAACCCCTTTCTTGTGGCACGGCCAGCCAGCTTGCCTTTAGTGTAGGCATTCGGGGAGCCAACCCCCTTTATCCCTAATCTTCCCACCTTTCAGAGGCGGTTCCCAATCACCAGCGTTCCATGAGCCTTCATCCTTAAAGTGTCAAACCCGAAATTTCTCCCTTGCTGTTGTGTCAGTTCTGACTCACAGTGACCCTATAGGACAGGGTAGACCAGCCTTGGTGGGTGCAACTGCAGCAGGTGGTTTCGAACTGCTGACCTCTCGGTTATACATCGGCCTCCCTCCTCAACCAGTGTGGATGGAGGACAGGAGGGTGTAGAATTGACTTGGGTTTTGTGTACCCTAGCACTTCCTTGACGGTGCAAGAGGCTAGTACACTTGGCTGCTAGACAGAAGGTTGGAGGCCAAGTTCATTCAGAAGCATTTGGGAAGAAAAGGCTGGTCGTCCCCTTTTGGGAACTCGGCCATTGGAATCCATAAAGAGCACAGGTCAGCTCTACACACGGGGTCTCCATGAGTTGGGGTTTGCTTCACTGCCCGTTGGTCAACTTGTGAGAGTTAGAAGCTGCCGTGGCAGCAGAGAGTTACCGCAGAATGCTCAACAGAGAAGGTTTTAGCACTCTGTTGCCTTGGGGGAAAGAAGAGGTTTTCTACTCCCATAAAGAGTTACTGCCTCAAAAACCCACAGAGGAAGTTCTGCTGTGCCCTGAAGGGTCGCCGTGAGTCAGAATGGACTCAGTGCCAGTGAGCTTCATTTTGAGTTTGGTGTTGTCTGAATTCACATTCACTATTTACCATCTGGGTTCTAACATCCATTGCAACAGTTGCCCAGATCTCACAGACAAGATATATGATTAAAGGGTTTATGGAGGAAGTCGACAGGTTGTAATGCAAGTGGGAAATGCTCAGGAGGCAGTTGTTGATCAGGGCATGTGACGGAGTTCTTTCGGGGCTGCTAATAAATGCCCAAAGGGCCATATCATTCAGCCGGAAGCCTCAACCCACAGGCATTCAGCTCAAGCTCCCTGGGGCAGCACATCCAGCTCCAGGAGTTAAGTGCCCGGAGGCATCCACGCCAGTCCACCTCAGCTTGAAGGCAAGTCAGCAGTACTTTGGTACTGCAAGCCCAGCCTCCCTCAGCAAGTGCCCAGAGCACCCCATTCCACAAGCTAGCCTCCTGCCAGAAGCACTCAGCTTTTCTTGCTCCCTGTTTCACGTTCTGGCTCCTGCTTCTGCTGCCTCACCTCTGAGGGGACAGCTGTCTCCTGGATCCAGGAGGCTCACTGCACAGGGATCCTGGGCCCCAAGGACAGGCTCTGCTCCCCGCTCTTGCTGGTGATGAGAGCCCTCCTGCTGCTTCTCGGAGGGCTCATCTACCCAGCAGGATGGGCTCACAGGGAATCCCTGTTCTCAATGACTCACAAGGACATCCCATCAGTATCTCCCCCACCTTCTCATCAGACCCCGTGCAGGGAAAGGTTGTTTGGTGGGGGGTAGAGACTGGCTAGAAGGGCCACGTTAGACCATTCACTGCCCCTGCAAGCACTTGCTGTGTGCCAGGAAGGAGCCGGGTGGCACAGTGGTTAAACGGGGAGCTGCTAACTGTAAGTTTGTACATTCCCACCAGGGACTCCATGGGAGAGAGCCAAGGCCGTCAGCTCCCATAGAGATGCGCGGCTTCAGAAACTCCGTGTTGTACTCTGCCCACAGGGTCACGATGAATTGGAATAGACTTAATGACAGTGGGTTTGGGGTTATGTGCCAGAGGGCATCCAGTTCCCAATGGCCTGGTACATGGAAAGAGTTCTCAGGACTGCGCGTGGCGAGGCGGCGCAGGTCCACTTTCCAGGGGCTAACGCCGGGCATTCCTGAGTGTGCTCACGAGCCTCCTTAGCTGTGCCACCAGGGCAATGGAACCGACACCCAGCCTGCTCTCCTCGGCTGGTGACCCATCTCTGCTCTGGCAGTAATACTTTTGTTTGGGAATCACTGTGGGTCCAAGGAAGCAGCCAGGAGCGTACAGGGAGGACCAGTGCCTCCCGTGGGTGGGCTCGTTTCCCTTCCTTCCTTTTCTTTTTTTCAAACGAGTTGCTTTAATTCCAGATGGTCCAGAATGCTGGGCATCACGAAGACGGAGGAGCAGCCCTGGCAGGTTCTGGACTGGGTTCACGCTGACCTCACAGCTAAGATAGACATGGCTGAGTGAGAGGAACTAAACATTGTGTGATTTTTCTTCTTTTTTACAAAACTTTATTCTTAAATGTACAGCAGGCTCCAAGACAACACTTCATTCTAACTAGAAGTGGCAACAAATGTTCTAGCAGGGAATCCAGATGTTTACACAGGAACAGAATCAAGGGCCACCATTGCCTCAGCCACCAAGAACAGCTTACTTTTTGCCAGATTTCTTCATTCCACCTGTGGCCAGGGGCCCTTTCCCCGCGGCCTTCACCTTTAGCTCCTCCGGTGTCTTTTGTTCTTCCTTCTGTTTCGGCTTGAAAGCCTTCTCTTCCTTGTCCATCTCCTTGTTCTGCTTCTTGGATTGTTTCAGGGGCTTCTTCTTGCCACCTTCGCGGCCCGACCTGGCGCCTGCCGCCCCTTCCCCAGGCCTGCCACCGAAAAGCCTCCTCCCTTCCTTTTCGTTCTTGGTTCCAGCGGCAGTACACACAGCCAGCAACCAAACGTGCGTCGGTGAGCACCTGCTGCCTGTGGAGTGGGTTCCGTGCTTCAGAAGGTCACACGCTTCAGAAGGTCACAGGCGTCACTGTGGCGACATTGCGCTGCCGTGGGCCCTGCCTCGTGAAGTCCTGTCGTGCTCTAGAGGCGCTGCTGTCCCTTTGCGAGCACACAGTGCTCGTGGCTAACCCTCTTAGTAATTGATCGCTTAGAATCAGCGTTCAAAGATTACTTCTGGGCAGTAGGTCTGGGGCCCCCACTCTCCATGCATTCATAAGACGGGGTTCGGTATGAATTTGAAGCTCTGTTCCCTGACTTTCCTGTTGGGTCTGTGGTCCAAGCAGCCAGTCATCGGAGCTGGGAGCCATCCATTCCCATGGGTCTCATGGCAGAGGAGGTGGTGAAGCCAGCACTTCTTCTTTCTTCTGCTCTCTGATTGCCGAGCTTCCTCCCTGCTCTGCGGCTCCAGGCTAACTAACCAAGGCCCGTTGAAGCATCGTGCGTGGGCGGCTACTCCCAGGCATTCACCATCCCAGGTGGTGCTCACCAAATGAGTCCAACTCTCAAGCCCAAACTCACGGCCACTGAGTCGATGCAAACTCCTAGTTACCCTGCAGACAGGGTAGAACGGACCCTGTGGGTTTCCGAGACGATCACTTTTTCCGGGAGTAGAAAGCCTCGTCTTTCTCCCGAAGAGCAACTGGTGGTTTTGAACTGTCGTCTTTGTGTTAGCCGCCCACTGCATAACCTCTGTGCCATCACGGCTCCTTTAAGAGGCCGAACAAAAACTATACAAATAGTGTAAGACCAATTGGCCTCACAGACTCAGGAAGCCCAAACCTTCAAACCAGAAAACCAGTTCCATGAAGTGTTGTTGCCGTGAGACGTGTACCGCGCTATCAGACACTTTGTCATTCTCCCCATCCTTTTCCCCAGTGCATACCTTACTGATAACAGCTACCTTCATTACGCTGTGTACTGTTACCCGGAGCCGGGGGCCATTTCCCCCATGGGTACATTCTGTTAAACAGCCCAGTGTCAAAACCAGGAAACTGACATTGGTATAAAATACACGATGGCTCTACCATATGTTGGATTTGTGTGGCCACCACCCCATTAATATCTGGAAGTAGCCATTTGCCATCGCGATCTCCTTTGTGTTACCCCTAGAGTCACAGCAAAGCCCGCCCACAGCCCCACGACAGCACTTCGAGCCCCTGGGAACCACGAATCTGTTCTTCATCTCTGTGATTTTGTTATTTCAAGAAGGTTGTATAAATGGAGCCAGGCAGGATTTAACCTTCTGAAAATCAGTCTGCGTCTGATGACCCCTCCCCGCCACCTCCCAGTCAGCAGCCAGTCCTCAAGAGCCGTGTGAGTGACGGCAAGATCTAAGAACTGCTTGGTGTTTCATATGAGCCCCGGGAGGGAATTGAGGGGTAAGTGAGAAACACCTTTTGAAGAGACAAGACTAAGAATTCTCCAGAATTTGTAAAACATGTGAAGCCCGGAAGTAGGTTAAGTGAAAAAAGAAACCCATCCTTACAGTGGCCGCCTCAAGGAGACAGCGCAGGCCTTGACGTTTCCCTCGTGCGTTTCTGTCCTCAGGAAACTAGTGGAGAATGTGCTGCACCCAACCAAGGCGTAAGTTACTAAAGAGTCAGACTGTGATCCAGAAAACCGGAGATCTGACTGGGGGAAGGGCTGAGCAAGTCCCCGGCAGAGGGGAAGGAAATCCTATGATTGACTGCTGGCTCCCGGCTCAGGGCTAAGAGGCTAGACCAGAGCACTTCAGAAGGTACTAGGATGTCAAGAGCACAAGTTATTCACTTGATAGAGAATCTGGTATTATTTAATTAGGGAAATGACAGACATGATATGCTGAGAACTAAGCACCCACCCAACTGACAAAACCTAAAAAATTGTTAAAACCGTTTTTTGTAACAAAAAATGCATAGAAAAGGTGAGAGTATGCATAGTTTACCACATCATTCAGTTAGAAATAAAATTTCCACAAGGATAATCATGTAAATGATCTAATTAATATTATGTATAGATACAGCAAGCAGCCCGGTGGCATACTGGAATACTCAGTGAGCTACAAACCATGAAGTCAGCTGTTCAAACCCACCAGTTGTTCCCACACAGGAGCATGAGACCCTCTGCTACTGTCAAGATTGCGAGCCTGGGAGACGCCCACGGGTAGTCCTCTCTACTCTGTAGCGTAGCTGTGAGTTGGAGTTGGTTCACGGGAGGTCCGTGTGGTTTTGTTATTCATACTCAGAGGATGGGATAATGGACAGGGGAATACCTGTGTGGTGGAAGTAGCATCAAAAGACCTAAATCCTCATTGCCCATCAAAGAAAATCACAATGCTTACATAGACAACTCAAGAAGTATTGACACATCTGTGTTATTTTACGACATGGAGGTGAACACTACAATAGTTATATTTTAGTAAGGGCCATGGCAAGAAGTAAAGGAAAAGGGATGAGCTGTTTTTCACAGCAAACATAGTAGAATTATCTTTCACAATAGATGTTGAACTAGCTATCCCTTAAAATGACCATATGTTTGCATGTAATATGTGCACAGGAAAAACTTATGTGCCCATATAATAGCAAACACAGGAAACTAACATTTAAGGGGGTTGCATGGTTTGCAAAACTAACACTTGTGCTATTTTTGTAAACAACTCCTTGCATAGATTTGCTGGAGCCTTGGTAGCACAGAGGTTGAATAGTTGACAGCAAACCTAAAAGTTAGTGGTTCAAACCCACCTGCTGCTCCAGGGGAGAAAGATGTGGCAGTCAGCTTCCTTAAAGGTTATAATCTTGAAAGTTCTATTGGGGGGTTGCTATGAATCAGAATAGTATATATATACATATATAGATAGATATCTTTGATATAAACTACACACTAAGTGTAAGAAAAGCGAAAGTTCCTTAATTTTACTGGAGATCAATATTTATAAAAAAACAATATCTCAAAACCTCTTTTTTGTTTGTTTGTTTGTTT